TATATATTGCTTTTTCTCTTTCTCTTCCCCTTCCTTCCTGTCCTTTCTCCTACCAACCTAGCCCCAGGCACCACACTCGCCACTTGTCAACAGGATTAGCCACACTGCTTGACTAGACAGCCACTGGCACAGAGCTTCCTGGGTCTGCGCCACCCCCACTGGCTGGCTCTCTCAGTGCCATTTTTTGTTTGTTTACTTTGTTCTCTCTCTCTCCTTTCCTTCCTTCTCTTTCTCCAGCCCACCTAGCCCCACGTGCCACCCTTACCATTTATTTATGGGCTGTGCCTCACAACTCGGCTACAGAGTCACTGGAACTCAGCCTTCCTGGGTCTGCACCACCTCAAATATTAACTCCCCCAGTGCCATATTTTGTTGTTTGTTTCTTTTCTCTCTCCCTTCCTTCTTTTCCTTTCTCCCACTCACCTAGCCCCATGTGCCAGCTTCTACCCTTGTTGACAGGCCATGCTGCACTACGTGGCTGTGGAGCCACGAGCACAGTCCTCCCTGGGTCTGCCCTGATCCACAGGCTGGCTCTCTCAACACCACATTTTTTATTTTTTTTTAAATTTTTCCCCTTCTCCGTTTTCCTTCTCCCTCCCACCTAGGCCCTGCACTGCCTTCGCCCCTTCCTGACAAGCCATGCCACACCACCTTGCAAGAGACACCAGCTTGCTACCACCTTGGTTCCACCTCACCTCCAAAGGCCAGTTCTCTCAGCACCGTATTTTTGTTTTGTTTTTGTTTCTTCTCTTTCTCCCTTTCTTCCTTTCCTTTCTTGTGTTCAACTAGCACCATGTGCCACCCCCACCCCTTCTTCATGGGCCATATCCAACTCCTGGGCCTGTACCGCCCCCTCCAGCTAGCTCCCTCAGTGCCATATTTTTTGTTTTTATTTACCTTTACCTTTCTCCCTTTTCATTCTCCTTGCCACCTAGGCTCTGCACTGCCTTGGCCCCTTCCTCATGTGTTGTGCTGTGCCGCACAACGAGAGAGACATCAGCTCACCACCACCCTGGTTCTGCCCCACTCCCAACAGGCAGTTGTCTCAGTGCCACTTTTTTGTTGTTTGTTTGTTTCCTCTCTCTCTCTCCCTTTCTTCCTTTCCTGTCTCCTGCCCATCTAGCCTCACGCACTGCCCCTGCCACTTCTCAGTGGGATATGCCACACTGGTTTGCTAGAAAGCTGCCAACATACATCCTCCCAGGCTCTGTCCTGACCCCACCAACTGACTCCCAAGGCACTGCAATTTTATTGACTTATTTTTTCTTCATTTTATTGCTTCTGTTTCTGTCTCTTCTTTGTCCCTGCTACTTAGCTCCACACATCACAGCCTCTTCCTTCATTCCTGCCTCTCTGCACCATATGCCAAGTGTTGTGTCCCTGAGCAGCAATTGCCAGGACCTCCAGATCCCTTGATCCCACATCCTGCTGCCCCCTGGCCCAACCCTGATGAGTTCCATGACCCCAAGAAGCACTGGCCTGGATCCCTGGACCCCACTCCACACCATCCCCTGGCCTCACCCTACTGAGTATTGCCCCCCGCGCTGCACAGCTGTAGAACCCTGGAGTCCATGAACCCATGTCATGCTGCTCCTGGCCCTGCACCACCTTCTCCTGCCCCACCTGCCTTAGTTTCAGCTGTAAATGACCCATCCCCACCACTCACCCCCTGTTGAACTTGCCCTGCTGCAACATAGCTGAGCTACCAGCCCTGCCCACCTGGACAAGGTGGTGAGAAATATCATACCCACAGACAAGCATGCAACACGCCCAGCCCGCCCACCCAGACATAACCAAATAAAACAAAAAGGCATGACAAAACAAACCTACAATCAATAAAAAAATTCCAGAATATCTATATCTCAGAGACAGAAGTAATATCAAAACATATAAAACAAAACAAACGAAACAAACAAACAAAAAACAGCACGCGATGGCTCCAGTACATGATCAAAATAAAATACCGAATAACATTCCAGTAAAAGAAAATGCACCAGAACTGCCTGATAGGGAATTCAAAGTCTAATATTCAGGGCTCTCCAAGATATTAGAAAAGAGATGAAGGAACACAGACAAAACTGAGGAAAAAGTAGACAAAATCATGGAAAATACAGACAAAATCAGAGAAAACAAAGAAATGGAAGAATTCAGAAAAACCTTACAAGAACAAAATGTCACATTAAATAATCAACTATAAATCATACAAAAAAAGATATTAGAAATCCAATAGATAAACAACAAGATTTCAGAAATGGTCAATGCAAGAGAAAATTTTAGGAGTAAATTTGAAACAATGGAATACAGGATCAGAGAAATTGAAGACAAATTCTTGGATACTACACTGTCTGAGGAAAAAAAGAGAAAAGAATGAAGAAAACCTAAGAACTCTGTGGGATACAATCAACGGCAAAAATTTCATGTGATCAGAGTTCCAGAACAGGGGAGAAAATGGAAAACACAGAGATAATCACTGAAGATTTGCTGACAGAAAACTTACCTAATATCATGAGAGATGAAAAGCTGATCATCCAAGAAGCTCAATGAACCCCATATGGGATAGACCTCAAAAGAAAAACACCAAGACATATCATAATCACACTTGCCAAAACCAAAGACAAAGAATCCTGAACGCAGCTCAAGAAAAACAAAGTGACATACAAAGGGGAAACAATGAGACTAAGCTCTGATTACTCAGCAGAAACCAAGCAGGCAAGAACACAATGGGATGACATATATAAAACCTTGAAAGAAAAATATTGCCAACCAAGAATAATATATCTTGCAAAACTCTGGCTCAAATATGATGGTGAAATTAGTACATTGCCAGATAAACAGAAATTAAAGTAATAGGTAAAAACCAAACCAAACTTACAAGAATTATTAAAGAGTGTCCTTTGGTTAGAGAACCAATATCAGACAATGATCTGAATCTAGGACACAGGACAGCATCAGCCACATATCAACCTAGGTAATGAACTCTCAAAGCTAAAACAAAACTAAAAAACTTACAACAGGGAACCAGAGATGTCAATCTGTAAATGACAACAACATTAGAACAATAAAAGAGGGAATAAATGGTGTAGGTATAGAACTTTCAAATGGGAAGGAAGTCAATGTGATATCAAGTAATAAAAGAATGGTTTAAACTTATGAAGACACAAGTAAATTCCAAGGTAACCACAAAGAAAGTTAACAAATCTACTCAACAAAATAAAAGTCTCAATAAAAACAAAATCTATAAAAATGAAAGAAGCAAACAAAAAAAAAAAATCCACAAACAAAAGGAATTCAGCACAGGATAGTAAAAGGAACAAAGAAAATGTCAGCACCACAAAGAAAAGCACTACAAAATGACAGCAATAAACTCATGCCTATCGATAATCACACTGAATGTAAATGGTTTAAATGCACCCATAAAGAGACAGAGAGTGACAGAATGGACACAGTCTAGAATCAAAGACATAAATTTATTAAAAATCAAAGGATGGAAAAAAAATATATCTAGCAAATAGCAACAAAAAAAGAGCAGGAATGGCAATACTAATCTCAGGTAAAATAGACTTTAAGACAAAATCCACCATAAAAGAAAGGGAAGGATATTATATAATGATTAAATGGACAATCCACCCTGATGACATAACAGTAATAAATATCTATGCACCCAATGATACGACTCCAATATACATAAAACAAACTCTAACAGCACTGAAAAAAGAAACTGATAGTTCCACAATAATAGTAGGAGACTTCAACACACCACTCTTACTGGTCTGAAAGAGATGGGAGATGCCCCTAGAATATGACCCCCAGACACCCTTTAAACTCAGTACTGAAGTAACTCCTGATGTTCACCATTCAGCCAAAGATTTGACAGTCTATAAATTAAATAATAATACACGTAGTTCGACATGTATCAGAGACTAAATGGGCATACCAGCCCAGGAACAAGAACAAGAAGGCAAGAGGGACAGTAAAGCTTGACAAATGATAATGGGAAACCAGAGTTGAGAAGCAAAGAGTGTTGACACATCACTGGGTTGGCAACCAATGTCACAAAACAATATGTGTATTAATTGAGAAACTAATTTGCTCTGTCATCTTTCACCTAAAGCGTGATAAAAATAAAGAAAGAAAAGAAAAACAACACGTTTGGCATTCCTCAAGCAGAAAGAACTAATAAAAAATTTCAAGTCAAAAGTTGCAGTGTTGAAAGATTCTATGGGCAAAATATTGAACTATGCAGGAAGCATCAAAAGAAGATTGAAGGAATACAGAGAGTCATTGTGCCAGAAAGAATTAGTTGACTGACCTTCAACCACTTCAGGAGGTAGCATATGATCAAGAACTGATGGTATTGAAGGAAGAAGTCCAAACTGTACTAAAGGCATTGGTGAAAAACAAGGCTCCAGAAATTGACAGAATACCACCTGAGATGTTTCAACAAATGGATGGAACACTGGAAAGGCTCACTCATTAATGCCAAGAAATTTGGAAGACAGCTACCTGGCCAACCTGCTGGAAGATATACATATTTGTGCCCATTCCAATGAAAGATCATCAAACACAACGCAGAAATTATCGAACAGTATCATTAATATCACATGCAAGCAAAATCAAGCTGAAGATAATTTAAAAGCAGTTACAGCTGTACATCTAAAGGCAACTATCGGAAATTCAAGCTGGATTCAGAAGTGGATGTGGAATGAAGAATGATCATTGTTGATGTAAAATGAATACTGGCTGAAAGCAGAGAATACCAGAAAGATGTTTGCCTGTGTTTTACTGACTATGCAAAGGCATTTGACTGTATGGATCATAACAAATCATGGATAACATTTCCAAAAATGGAAAATCCATAACCCTTAACTGTGCTCATGCAGAACCCGTACATAGACCAAGTGGCAGATGTTTGAACAGAACAAGGGGATACTGCGCGGTTTAAAGTTAGGCAAGTGGTGTGTCATGGTGGTATCCTTTCACCATAGTTAGTCTGTATGCTGAGCAAATAATCTGAGAAGCTGGACTACCTGAAGAAGCACATGGCATCAAGATCGGAGAAAGACTCCTTAACAACCTGCGATATGCAGATGACACAACCTTGCTTGCTGAAAGTGAAGAGGACTTGAAGCTCTTACTGATGAAGATCAATCAGTCAATCCTTCAGTATGGATTACATCTCAACATAACCCATTGCCATCAAGTCAAATCAAGACAAAGAAAACAAAAATCCTCACAACTGGACCAATGAGCAACATTATGATAAAGGGAGAAAATACTGAAATTATCAAGGATTTAATTTTACTTGGATCCACAGTCAACACGCATGGAATCAGCAGTCCAGAAATCAAATGGCATATTGCATTGGGCAAATCTGCTACAAAGACCTCTTTAAAGTGTTAAAAAGCAATGCCATGGCATTTTCAATCACTCTATATGCCTGCAAAACCTGGGCAATGAATAAAGAAGATCGAAGAAAAGTAGAGAGAATATTGAATATATCATGCACTGCCAGTAGAACAAACAAATTTCTCTTGGAAGATGTACAGTCAGAATGCTCCTTAGAAATGAGGATGGCTAGACTTTGTTTCATGTACTTGGACATGTTATCAGGAGGGACCAGTCCCTGGAGAATGACTTCTTGCTTGGTATAGTAGAGTGTCAGTGAAAGAGAAGATCTTCAACGAGATGGATTGACACTTTGGCTGCAACAGTGGCCTCAAACACAGCCACAGTTTTGAGAATGGTTCAAGACAAGGCAGTGTTTCGTTTTGTTGTACATAGAGTCGGTATGAGTCAGAACCAACTCACCTGTACCTAACAATAAAAACATAGTATAATTAATAGTGACCGTACCTTCTAAACATGAGCAATAGAGGGAGTTCAGGCAAAATGGTGCTCTAGGCAGAAGCACTACACTGTCCCTCCACAGCAAAGATCTGAAAAACTAAGCCGAACAGAGAATACAACAATCCTGAAACCCTAAAACATCAAATGAAAAGATAAAGAACTCAGCCAA